ACAGACCGGAGCAGATATAATCATCCGGGATCCATGTTCTCATCTTGTTGCAGTATCATCCTGAACAAGACTTCTCCACCTCAGGGTCCAGGAGCTTGAGCTCCTGCCATTATGTCTGCAATCCAAGCAGCATAAAGAAGAAAGACGTTTGCAGCTAGGACTGACGCTTAGCTGGCACAGATCAGTAGAGTTGTATCAGTAGTAAAATATTTAAATTCTTCTATACCAGCTGGTAAATAGCAGCGGACTCACCGATGCCCACCCCCCTACTTGCTCATTCCCTGGACCACCCAACCTTCCCAGACAACAGCCTGGCCCAGCTGGGACCTTCCAGGGCAGTCCTCCAGCACTGCGCCAGTGTCCTGGCAGTACCAGATGTGAGCTAGTTGCATTGGAGGCGTCTCTTCCTTTTAAGAAGAGTATCTAGGTCACAAAATGGAAACTTGTTCTTTTGTCTCATTGGCCAAAATGAAGTCCTGTGGCTGCAAGGGAGGTTGGGAAATGTAGTCCATGTGCTGAGCCAGAAATAAGGGCTTGATGACCAACTATCAAGATCAGGGAAAAAGAGGTGAAGGGTACTAAGAGGCAATAGCAGACTAAGCCGCATGGGAGGGTTAAATAGGTGCTGAGCAGCACATAGGGCTTGGGGAGGCTGGCTGAGATGGGTGATTCTCCAGCAGCCCAGGGCAGGTGGGCTAGAACAGAAGGAATCAGAGGCTGGGAATTGGCAGGTTGGGTGACTGAAGTTGAGTGGTTGCCGGAGGAGTCCAGACAAGGCAGAAAGGCAGATGCAGGCAGGAGAGCCTAGAGGCCAGGGGTCTTGATGAGGGAGATGCTGCAGAGGGAAGAGCCTGAGCTTGTTTTTGAGACATTGTGGGGCTGGGGGTCGCCCTTCCAGGGCAGCATGAAGTTCTAGGGTGGAGGAGCCAGCGTGTGAGGAGCCAGAGTGGAGCTTTGGGGCCAAGCGGTAGTCTGGGCTCTCATATCGGAGGCCTCAGTAGTATTAGCAGTCTTGGCCAACAACTGTTTTGTTGTAGAAACAGATGGAAGCCCTCTGCAGTCCACAGAGGAACTACTACTATTATTATTTTGATTTGGGGAAGATGTTTATTAAAGCTGGGGGCAGTGAAACAAGGAAGGGCCTGGGCTAGAAGAAGCAGCAGGAGCGAGCCCAGGCTGGGCCGTTGTCAGCTCCCTGTAAAGTCAGAGAAGAGAACCTGCCTTGGAGACAGGTTCAGGGGCGAGCCCGGGACGTGCAGCCACTGCCCATTGCTCCCCTGATTGCAGTCTCATGGGGACCCAGGCCACCTCAGGAGGAAGGAGATCTGAGTGGGCATGCACCCAGGAGGGTGCGCCCACAGGTGGGGGTTTCAAGAGCCGCCAGGCACCAGACGTGGGGCCTCAGGAGGAACTGGGGCCCAAACTGGAGAGCCCTCAGGAACTCTGCCGGCATTCCCAGGATGGCTCACATTTCTGGGGAAAAGTCATCTTTTCGGTTCCCTGAAAACTTGAGCTCACAGGAGGAGAAAAAGGGGATTTTCGTTTCTTTTGTAAGTTTGCCTACAATTTTTTCTTTAAAAGGTACAAAGTAACGTGTGGACATTGCGATGAGTGAAACAAGGCAAAGACAGTTGACTCAATGTCAGCAGGCTCGCCCACCTCCAGTTAGTTCTCTGTTCCTCCCTCACGGATACCCAGCAGCCTCCCTCCAAGAGACAGGCAGGAGGGCCTGGCTCCCTGGGCGCCTGCCTGGCCTGGAGGATCCTGCAGCTCCCTCCCCAGCTCCGCCGGCCCCTCTGGGAAGTCAGTGGCAGGCAAGGCTTGACCTAGACCAGTGATGGCGAACCTATGACACGCGTGTCAGAGGTGACATACGAACTCATTTTTTTGGTTGATTTTTCTTTGTTAAATGGCATTTAAATATATAAAAGAAATATCAAAAATATAAATCTTTGTTTTACTATGGTTGCAAATATCAAAAAATTTCTATATGTGACACGGCACCAGAGTTAAGGTAGGGTTTTTCAAAATGCCGACATGCCGAGCTCAAAAGGTTCGCCATCACTGGCCTAGACGATGCGCCTTGGGCCTTGCTCTGTCTGCTCCTTGGAACCCACTTTCCTCACAGGCCTGCTGCACACCAGCGCTTAATGCGCCCCCCTCTCGCTGCAGAGCTGCTTGGAGTAGACTGTTTAGTCCGGGCGGGTTTTCTGAGCCCATCAATGTTCAGCATTAGGGATCTTCCCAGTTTCCGTTGCTATAAAGGCCCTTCTGGGAACACTTTGGATAAAAGACTTCTGAGCTCCGGGTCATTTCCTTTGCGGGTGTGTAACTAGGAGTGGTATGCTAGGGTCAAAGGGTCCGAATAGCTTCATGGCTCGTTTCCCATGCACAGGTGGTTAGGAAGGTGTTTTAAGAGGATTTAAACCGCTAACTTGGTAAAAAGTTATATAGTCCTCTTACTGTTGTCTTTCACTTATATATTCTTTTTTTTTCTTGTTGTTAATCCTTACCTGAGGATATTTTTTCCATAGATTTTTAGAGAGAGTGGAAGGCGGGGATGGGGGGGAGCGGAGAAGAGAGAGAAATAGCGATATGAGAAAGACACATCAATTGGTTGCAACGGAGGCTGGGGTCGAACCTGCAACCCAGGTACATGCCCTTGACTGGGCGGGCTGACGCTCTAACCGCTGACTGAGCAACACCAACTAGGGCTCACTTTTATATTCTTTACTAAAATTATGTCCTTTTAGGGAAGGAGGTGGATGAAGGAACATATTACTGTTGTGTTCCAGGTGTGCAAATGAAAGGCAGCAAAAGTTCATCTCAGAAACACGGACACACCCTCCAGTTAGGAGGGGTGGGTGTTAAAAAAGAGTCGTGGTCGGTTCAGGCTCTGTCACTCCACCGAAGTGCGAGCAGGGGATCTGAAGGTCTCTAAGCCTCCTTTCGGCTTGGAGTCTTATGACCTCGCACAGAACACGGGATGCTTTGCCTGCTCCTTTGGCAAGGAGCTGAGGGAAGGAGCAGTATCCTAGAGCCTCATCTCCCTTGCGTTTATCTTACCATTGGGGTAGTCTGCCCCATGATTCAGGAGCCTGCAGATGGGGCAGCCATGAGGTCACCATCTGGCCACTGAGGCCAACCGGTGAGGTATCTAGTCGAGACTAAGTCTTGTGCCAACTTTACTCAGTCCTTTCACATCGCCCACTGTGATGCTTACTTCCCCATCCGACTCCCCAGTGGGAAGTAAGAGCAGCCATGTGGGGGTGGTGAGGAGGGGGAACCACAGGCTCCGAGGCCTCTGTCTGTGTGCTGTTCCTAGGAGAGGTGCAGATGGTGCGAGGGGGCTGGAACCCTTGGGTTTGCCCTGACCAGGTCAGTGGTGACCTTGATAGATGTCTTCCCCTTTCTGGCCTGTTCCCCCTCTGGCACATGGATGGAATGGGACTACTTGATCGTTAAGGATTCCCCTAATAGGTGATGTTTCCCTCCTTTCCTTCTTCCCTCAGGCTGGTAGGTACTTGCCCCTGGGGGAGAGGGGTGCTGTGGGGGTGGTGGTGGTGCCATCCCTCTGTTCACAACCAGACAAGGTCAGCCATAGTAGAAGGTGAGTCATTTCCCGTAGGTCACCCAGGTCTTCTTTTCTGGAATAAGATGAGGATTGAGGCCTGGGCAGGGTGGGCATCTTCCTTCTCCAACAAGGCCCCTGGCCCACTCTGAGCTGGGTTCTCAAATTCAGGCTTCACTTCCTGTTCCCTTTTCCAAGGGCTGAGGCACTTTCTATTCTCCATTTTACTCCTCAATCCCTTTCCTCCACTCCCTCCAAGTCCACGGACAAACCACGGTAGGACCTTGGGGGGGAGTGTATAATACTGAAAAACCTGTCTGGGAGTCATGGGAAAGAAAAGTGATTGTATTGCAACGGCATGGATGGAACTGGAGAGCATTATGCTAAGTGAAATAAGCCAGTCAATGAAGGAAAAATACCACATGATCTCACTCATTCATGGATAATAAAGACCATTATAAACTTATGAACAAAAATAGATACAGAGGCAGAGCTGCCTCAAACAGACTGTCAAACTGCAGTGAGCTACCTCAAACAGACTGTCAAACTGCAGTGGGAAGGCCGGGGAGGGTAGGGGGGCAGAAGGGGGGGGGGTAAGAGATCAACTGAAGGGCTTGTATGCACGTATATAAGCATAACCAATGGACATAAGACACTGGGGAGGGCCAGGGGATTGTCAAGGGTGGGGGAAAAAAGGAGACATATGTAATACCTTTTGTAATACTTTAAGAAATAAAAAAATAAAAAAAGAAAAGAAAAGTGATTGTAAATATGAAATATTAACAGGGAAAACAGGGCCCGGAATGAAGTCACACACTGCCCCCCCAACCCCCCAAGTAAATACTGTAAACATCACCTGTAGGAGACAGTGTGGGTTGAGTGGTGAGTTTGAATTCTGACTGTGAGAACTTAAAGTTGGTTAATTTTTTTGAGTATAGATTATCATCTGAAAAATGGTATGAGTAATAAAAAATGGTGACACACAGAAAAAATGTGAGGTTTAAAATATATTTTCTATATTGCCCAGCCAGCGTGGTTCAGTGGTTGCGTGTCAACCTATGAACCAGGAGGTCATGGTTGGATTCCAGGTCAGGTTGTATACCCAGGTTGCGGGTTCAGTTCCCCAGTGTGGGCGTGCAGGAGGCAGCCCATCAATGATTCTCATTATTGATGTTTCTATCTCTCCCCGCTCCCTTCTTCTCTGAAATCAATAAAAATATATTATATATAATCCCACACGTTGACTTATTCAGTTATTAGTTTTCATTTTGACTACCCCTCCCTTCTCTTCCACCACGTTCTTCTACCCCTTTCCCCTCCCGTCCTCTCCCCGCTCCCCGCCTTCCCTTCGCGCAGGCGCCCTGCGAGGCGCTGAGTCAGGCTGCGGGAGGGCTGAGCGGGCGCCGGCGGGGCGGGGCGGGGCGGGGCGGGGCGGAGCTGGCGCATGCGCGGTAGGCGGTGTCGGGGCTGGGCAGGTTTATATCCCCGAGATCAGCTGACGCCCTGCATTGCAGACTGCGGACTCCGGCGTCGCCATGTACGCTCTCTTTCTTCTAGCCGGCCTCCTGGGCGCGGGTAAGTCCCGGGAGCCCCGCCTGGGAGGGTGTCCCCAGCGGGACGTGGGCTCGCGCCCCGGAGCGGCTGTGCGGGCCTGGCCTCTCGGGTCCCCTCTGGGCTTGGCGAGGGACGCGCACTGCGCAGGCGTGTGCGCCGCGCCGGTACCTGCTGCGCGGCGAGGGGCTGCGGGAGTTGGCCGGGAGGCCGGCGGCGAAGGAGCCCCGGGCCGGACGCTTGGGGTCTGGGGCCGGGAGGCGGGGGTGAGGCGGGCGGCATCTCCTTCAGGGCTCCAGTCGGCGGCTGGGTCGGCCCGGCCCTCCCCCCAGGCTGCCCTTCCAGCCATGGGGGTGAGCCCTCCCGCGGCCGCAGCCGTGTTGTGCTCGCGCTGGGCGCACGTGATTGAGGTGGAATGGAGCCCCATCCAGTCGGACACACTGGCCCTGGGCCCCAGCTGCCACGGTTTTTAAGAGTATTGAAGTTGCAGGAGACATGGAAGCCCACTCTACCATCTTGTGTTGATGTTTGTCGTTGCACACACATATATATATATTCTTGACCCTACATCTTGAAGGTGATACGGGGTTTTTACGATCCGGATGATTTTGCAACGGAGCCCTCGTTTCACATGCTTTAAAATGTCTTTGCACAGCCATTGGCCGGTTTTAGCAGTGGCCTACATATGGGGAAAACGTAAGTATGGGAGAAGTTGAGCACATGAGTGTTCGTACACCTGTTTATTGCCCTGAAATGGTGCTGGTGGTTACGGTCATTACAGGCTCCGCAGGCAGCGCCTGGTACCAGCTGCACCGCCTTCCTGGAATTAGAAGGGACCCTAGTGCCCTCCCCAGGTCACCGTGACCTTCCCCCTAATTCTTGCTCTCACCTCTTAACCCGGTTTAAGTCATCGCGGTAAAGGGAAAGGAGTGAGATTGGGTTATGTAATCAAGTTTCTGTAGTTCGATAGTGACAGAACCAGATTTCAGTTTATAAGTGGATAGTTAAGGAGCCAGATTTTAATTTATATAACATTGACTTTTAAGTTACAAACACATTTGGGTATTTTCAGATAATAGCCCACTGAGGGAAATAAACCTGATCTTTAGGACCAGCCTACATTTCTCTTTATTAACTATGTAATTTAGGTCTAGCCTCCATTTTAAGTATCATGTAGCCATCCAAGTTTCAATAAACAGTAACCAAAGAATTAAGAAAAATACTTATAGATGAAGTAGGTTGAAGATGTTTTCCCTCATGTTCGCTTGCAGCAACTCTCAAGAATGTGTACTTAACCTTGAACCAAGCTCTTAAACTTGTTTTACTTGTAGAGGATGAAAGGTGAACTGCTTGTAAAGGTTTTTGGTTTTATAGTCCCTGAAGAAAATTTATTTCTCACTGGGGTTGATACTGCTTGTTATTTTAATGGTTGGTGTAATAAACAAAGGCTAGTCTCTAAATTTTCTATACTGATTGAAAAATTCCCCCTCCCCAGCATCCCCCCCCCCCCCCCCCCATTAAACAATTGTTCTTAGGCAGTGAGTCACGCCTCACAAGACCTTTAAGAGGTCTGAATCACTCAGATCGCCCAAAAGGATCTGAATTGATTCTTTGGAAATGTAAAATTCTCCTCTGGTTTATATGGGAAGATGGTTAACCAGAATATGAACTAAGCCAGGAGGCCTGCTTCCCAGCACACTTGGGTACATGGGAGTGTGCTGTAATGGCCTTGCGCTAACCATGCTGCCCCGCCGTTAGGGTCATGCCAAGGTCATGCTGATACAGTGTATGGATGCATTTTAATAAACACTGACTTGCCTTGACAGCTCTGGTCCTACTTTTCTGGAAATGTATTTCTAAAGTTTCTAATAAATATTGATACTGTTAGTGAAGGAGCATCGTGGTTTCGGCCGCCACCTGCTCCCCGGAGGTGCTTAGAACTTGTGGTTCCAACATGGCGCTGCTGTATGGAGCACAGTGTCATCCTGCATCTGGAGAAGCTTTATAGGTTGTGTTTTAATAATGTCCTCGTGGTGGAGACGTTTGCTTTTGAGTTGCTTTTCTACCCCTCTAGTTGCCCCTCCTTTTCCCTACCTGGAAAATAAAGGGAAGTGATGATACGTGGAGAGAATAGGGGAGTATCTGTAAGGAATGAAGACACTGAGGCCTCAGAAGTAACTCTCCCAAATCATAGGCCGCTCACCGAAGTCAGGATCAGAACCCAGGCCTCCGACTGCTTGCTCTTTTCCTAGCCTTCCATCAATACTGATCTCTTAACTTTTTACAAACATACTGGGTTGTCATTTGCCCTCAGGACACATACACATTTTAAGTGTATTACTTGATGAATTACCACTGGGTGAACATACCTACCATAAGCAGCACCCAGGGTCAAGGAATAGAGCGGGAGCAGCATCCAGAACCCCTAGGACTTTCCATGCACTACCCTGTTTACTTGCCCCAAAGGAGACAACTTTGTTAGCACCGGAGATGTAAAAACTCAGCTGCTCTTTTTGAGCTTCTTATAAAGGAATCTTACAGTAAGGCCATATTGTTGGGTGATTTCTCGTGTGGAAAATGTTAATGAGGTGACACGTGTAAAAGCATGTGGTATGGTGTGGTACGTGCCCTCGAAGCCAAGCTGCCCTGCTACTGTCACCTGTGGATGGCTAGCCAGCTGAATGGTGTTCGCCCAGCACACGCAGGGAGGCTCTGTAGGGATGCTAGGTGTATTGTGAACGAAAAAACGGTGTCCAAAAAAATGTGTACACACTTTAACAGCTGATAGCTCAATTTTGAAAAGGCAGTGTTAATAAACACTGCCTTTATAATTCAAAGTATGTTTGTACATTTTTGGGGGACACCCTACATATATTCATTTGATAGCTGCTGCTGTTTATGATGCAAGACATGAATTTATGTCATGGTCTGCTGAATATCCACAGAATTCCAGTTCTCACCTGCCAGGAATTTTGGATTAACACCCTGTTTATCAGTTTTCAATCAGTGATCAGTTTTACTCAGAAAATTAATTCATGAGGGTTTATTTGTATCAACCAAGCAAGGATTTGGTAAGTGCTTGAATTACATTTGACAAGCTGTGTCCCGTCCCTCCTGTGAGAGTTGAAGGGTATATTGGATTGAGTCATCTGGGTTTTTCTAGATTAGGGAAAGGAGAACTTGAACTTGCTCCTCCATTTTCTTCCTATTCGAAACTATGGAATGCCAAGCCGGAACTTGACAATGGGGAAGAGGAAGGGCGAACAGGGTGTTGTTGGGGGGGAAGGGGGGGGTAGTAGGGGGTGGTGGGGGGTGGTGTGGGTAACTACCTAATAAGGCATGGGAAGCTCTCCAGGCCAAAACAAGCCTCTGCTGAGCCATGGCTTTGGAGGCAGTCTTTTGCCTTGGGCATTCTAGATTACAGACGTCAGGCTCTGAGCCTTGCTCTCTGGGTTCTATTTGGCTCTGCCACCAAAAAGAAAGGTCTGGATTTTTTTTTTCTTTTTTTAAATTGATTTTAAAGTGAGAGGAAGGGAGAGGGAGAGATAGAAACATCGATGAGAGGGAGACATTGATCGGCGGCCTCCTGCACGCCCCCTACTGGAGGTCGAGTGGGAAACCTGGGCATGTGCCCTGATGGGGAATTGAACCAGCAACTTCTTGGTGTATGGGTCGATGCTCAACCACTTAGCCACACTGGCTGGGCTAGATTTTCTTTAAATCAGAAGAGAATGCTAATTACCTGCCTTAAAAAAAAATTTTAAAACGATAAATACAGTGTTTAGGGTGAAGAATTTAACTGTTGCAGAAGTACTAACTGCTTTACTTTTTGTTCATGAAGTTCCAGAAAATCATCCGAATTATGCCTTGTGTAATGGCCTGTGCACTGAAAAATAATCTCTCCAAATTTCATGGTTCTTGTGGAATTTGTAATTCGTTATGCTGAGACTGAGATGATACTGTGGAATAGAAGTTAACTATCACATTGCTGACAGCTGTGTACTCTGGGACAGGCTACTTAAACTGCTTCCCTACCTGTAATAATCATTCCTGTCTAATGGGGTTGCAGCGAGGCTTTAATAAATCACTGTATGACAGGGCTTAGGTAGTGAATACTATAAGGTGTGCTGCTATCCCAGGAGTAAAAACAGTATTGTGTTTGTCCTTGTCCCTGGCCCACCCGCACAGGGACCCTTCTCTGCCCTTGATTTTGTAGTATCTCCTGCTGTCTTGCATTTCAAAGATTGTTTTAAGTTTAATAAAACAAAATTAAATTGGCATAAATATGTATGCTGGACATAATTACTGGGCCAGGAAAACAAACCAGGGTAGGTAGTCAGCAGTTAGGAGGGAGGTGGGAGAGCAGCCCAGCAGATCAGGGCTGGTTCCTGGTAACCTGAATTCTCAGATTCTAGGCTTCTCGTTACTAATTGTGATTCCTAGGCTAAGTCTGTTTAGCCACCACCCTCCCTCTGCCCCACCTCCCTCCAGAGATAACCACCCTCCTGGACTTGATGTTTATCATCCTCCTGCAGGTCTTTTTTTTTTTTTTCTTTTAACTGATTTCGGAGAGGAAAGGAGAGGGAGAAAGAGGTAGAAACATCAGTGATGAGAGAGAATCATTGATGGGCTGCCTCCTGCAGGTCTTATACTTTCATAGATACAATGTAACCTTCATCATTTAAAAACATTTTCAGCCTGCCCTCTCAGGGATTGAGCGTAGACCTATGAATCAGGAGGTCAGGGCTCGATTCCCGGTCAGGGCACATGCCCAGGTTGCAGGCTCAATCCCCAATGTGGGGCGTGCAGGAGGCAGCCAGTCAGTGATTCTCTCTCATCATTGATGTTTCTATCTCCTTCTCCTTCCTCTGAAATAAATAAAAATATATTACAAATATGTAAAAAAATTTACAGATATTGTATATGTTAGTATTTTCTTGGCTGGTGAGGTTCATCCTCTTTGGAGGATATACCTAGGAACAGAATTGCTTAGCTGTGGATTGTACATATTTCACCTTAACTAG